GTCTCACATCACTACCTCATTGTTCGAGAGTCATTGACCGAATGATCGTAAGTCAGAAACATTATCATGGTACTGTTTATATCGTCGAAGTTGACTATCCCAGATAGCACAAAGGTGAACATAAGTTCATAGGGAAATCATTTTAAAGAATACTTGTAGAATTAGAAAAATGAATATCTGAAGAATTCTTGAAGAATTATTCAATCAGTTCGTCTTGAAATATTCTTTATAAATTCATTTTAATGAATACTTTGCGACAGTACTATGAATACTTTGAGAATTTATAAGGAATTACTTATTATTTTTCCACGCATGCGCGAGACTGTGTGTGTTCGGTTCGGACTTTATCTTGTAATTTCGTGCAGTGTGCAGTGTGCTACATATATGTATTTTGCAATAAAGTGGTAATATATTTATAATGTAGTAATATATTTATATATATTATATCAGACAAAAGTACAGTGCCACGCATAATTATATTAATAATTGGGTGTTATTGAATGGTAAGTATTAGTTGAACTAAATATATTCCTACTACCTAACCTCGAAATAAACGCATACAGTCTTTATTTTTGTTATTTATTCATTCAGTAAACAAGCTGTTTTAGTTGGTCTAGTTTGCCAACAGAGTCAATCAAAATTTCTATTTATTGATAAATTTGGATAAATATTTGTCTGCATGTAGTTCATGTTCTTTCAACAGGCAATTTCTGATTATATGAATACAAACTTCTATTATATGTTCATATATTACTTTTATATATTACTTTTATATAGAATGTCTTATTCCTTTAGTCTTTCTAATGTATAATATATTGTTATATAATTTCATACATATATTTTACAGATTTATCAAAGTCATTCACGTATCACAATACAAGTTTTAGACGAAACTGAAGAATAACCAACTACTATAGAAAATAAAAGTAAGTTGTATTTATATGCATTAATTAAATTACAGCGTTTAATATAAGTTGTTTATTATATTACATATATAACTAAATCGAAAGGAATTAGGCTCGATATATATTAAATAACATGATAAGAAAATTAGCGTCTACGAGCCACAGCGGATGGTAAATGCCTGAAAAATTCTTTTTAATTGTACGCGAAATTTTAAACGAAAAACACGGCATATGCATATATTTTACTTGGTGCATTTAACCAAGATATAGATTCTCACTTTTGAGAAATTCTATAAAACCCTCTTTACCCCCCCCTCCCTGAAGAGACGTAGACGAGAAAAATATCGGGGCGAAGTCGCTGAATCGGGAATCGAACCCGAGTCTTTCGCTTGCCGGGCGACTGCTCTTACCACTGAGCTATTCAGCCCCACACCGATACTACCCTCGTCTATTTGTTTATAACTATGGAAAATGAAACGCGATCATTTCAGCTAGCGCGTGAATTAAACTAAATCGAAAGGAATTAGGCTCGTTATATATTAAATAACATGATAAGAAAACTAGCGTCTACGAGCCACAGCGGATGGTAAATGCCTGAAAAATTCTTTTTAATTGTACGCGAAATTTTAAACGAAAAACACGGCATATGCATATATTTTACTTGGTGCATTTAACCAAGATATAGATTCTCATTTTTGAGAAATTCTATAAAACCCTCTACTATATTACATATATATTTACTTTTTTTAATTATATATGCATATAAAAATATAATATATATTGTATGCACATACATTTAATTTTAAATAAAAAGTTATATTAAAAAAAAGTTAAAATATTAATAATATTGTGTATTAATTTTTCCTACAAAATTCCTTATGTTTGAAAAAATATACTAAATCTAAAAAAATAATTGATTCAATATTTATAAGAAAATATTTATTTAAATTAAGAAATATTTATTTAAATAATTGATTTCAATATTTGCAAGAAAATATTTATTTATATTAAGCAAAAATATATTTGAATCAGCAAAATATACATGTATATTTTAATGATTCAAATATATTTTGGCTTAATATAAATAAATATTTTCTTGCAAATATGGAAATCAATTATTTTTTTAGATTTAATATATTCTTTTAGTGTTCCAAATACTATTCCCATTGAATTCATAAAGTTTACATTTATAAGTTTCATTTTTGGAAATAGAAAAATACTATATGAATACTATATGAATACTATATGAATACTATATGAATACTATATTCATCATATCAAAATCATATCAAAAATACTATATGAATATTATATGAATACTATATGAATACTTTAAGAAGTTCTCAAGAATTCAATCATGGTGCATGTAACTTCCACAATCATTCTTATTGTATTCATCTATGAATTCCTAAAGAATTACAATTTAAAAAAGAGAAAACTTAAAGATTACTGTTAGAATTCACTGTGCTATCTGGGATGTTAAGAAGGAATTTGATAATATGTGAAACATCTCTCTCGTCACTACTCAAGGTTACTGTACGAATGATAATAAAGCCGTGTCACATATTAACAATAGCGGGATACTGTTTATCAAGGTCGAACACGGTGTTATTGATAAGTCTCTCGTTGTTGAAATATTTTCTGTAATATAAAATATTTGTGCGCGGAATATTAAATTATAGAAGTATTTTAATTTATTGATTAAGATTAATTGATTATTTATTAAACCATTCATCTTGAAGTCTTTCGATATACTAATTATTTGCATCTATAATTCGATTGTTTTACTTCGTGTTCTCTCACAATTGTATTATTTCCCCCCCAATTATATTTAGATTGTCAAATAGAATAATAAAATAACACGGATGGAATATATTTGTGACTCTAAATATTAAAATAATAATTATTGTTCGTAAAGATTGCAAACATCGATGTGTTTATTTAATATGTTGGATTTCTATCATTTTATCGATTCTTGATTAAATTGTATATTGTTTATAATAAGCATCAATATGATCAAAAGATCATAATATATTTAATTCTCTTGTCCTCTTTCATGTATCCCTTGTTTCAATTTTTATTCGCAGTAATGAATGATTACGATTCGATAAATGTTTATCGTTGCGATACAGTTTCATTTTCAAATGTTTAATTATTAATATTTACAGCAAATTATGTTTAATACTAATTCTAATCATGTTTAATACAAAAATTACAATATACGAAGCGTTTCTCACCACTACTTTATTACTCGAGAGTCATCGTGCGAATAATGACAAAGCCATAACGTATAGTGTGCTACTGTTTATATTGTTACGCCCGTGACAAGGACTTCGATTAATATCGAAGGCGCGTAACAATATTTTTTTATATTACTAAAGCCGAACACCGTATTATCGGCAATTCGTTGAAATATTTTATATATTATAAAATATACACTAACGCGAAATATTAAACAGAAATACTTTAATTTATTGATTATTAATTAAACAATTTCTAACGGAGCATTTCGTTATGTTAATTATTTGCATCTGTAATTCGATTGTTTTACTTCGTGTTCTCTCATAATGCAAATTACATTTAGATTGTCAAGTAGTACGACAAAGTAACATGGGTGAAATATATTTGACTCTAAGTATTAAAATAATAATTATTGTCCGTAAGAGATCACAATGATCCAAGTGATTATTTAATATCTTGTATTCCTATCATTTTATCGATTCTCTATTAAATTGTATATTGTTTAATTAAAAAGGATTGAGAAAATTTAAAGCATTGGTCGAAATATATTTAATTTTAATATTGTTAAAGAAATATTATAATTATAACAGCAATGATCGAAAGATCATTACATAATTAATTCTCTTATCCCCTTTTATATATCCCCTGTTTCAATTTTTAATCGCGATAATGAAGCATCATTACGATTCGATAAAGATTTATGGCTGCGATACAGTTTCATATTGTTAATTAATTTTTAATTAATTAATTTTTATTAATATTTAAAGCAAATTATATTTCGATACTATCGTAATCGTGTTTAGTAAGAAAATTATAATATTCGAAATGTTTCTCACTACTTTATTATTCAAGAGTCACCGTGCGAATGATGATAAAAAACGGTAATGTATAGCACGTTATTGTTTATATATTTTATTTATATTTGCCAAAGTCGAACGCCGTGTTATCGATAATTCGTTGCCGAAATATTTTATATATTATAAAATATACATTAGCATGGAATATTAAATTATTTGGAAATATTTTAATTTATTGATTAAAATTGATTATTTATTAAACTATTTATCACGGAGCTAATTATTTGTATTTATTCGATTATTTTACCGCGCTTTTCCGAGTCAAATTCTATAATATTTAGTTTTGCATGTTAAAAGATTGACTTATAGCGAGCTAAATAAATAAATTAATTAATATGATATTGAAAAGAAAAAGAAGACACATAAATAAATAAATAAATAATAGTGTGAAAAGAGAGAACATACTAATATTTTTATATAATAAATTATTTAATATTTAATTTAATTAATATTAATTTAATAATTATTATTAATTAATTATTTATATTTTTATTTATAATTTATATTATCAGAGAGACATGTATGTTACTCTCTGAGAACATTCGTGGATATTGGCTTTGTAGTTCACGTTTTTAATGTCCACAGAGGGAGTATCGCTTCCAGGGATCAGCTAAAAGCGGGCCATGACATCTCTTAGTCTTCTCTCTGGTTTTGCTTACATTTTCTACATTCAAATCTCTTAAGGCCGGGTCTGCAATAGACAATTTAAGACCTAAGCCTTAAGAAATTGACCAATCACAGTCGAGTATGAAGAGAATACTCGACTGTGATTGGTCAATTTCTTAAGGCTTAGGGCTTAAATTGTTTATTGTAGACCCGGCCTAAATCTGCCAACATAAAGGCAGGTTTTCACTTGATGTTTTCCAGCATCAAAAGACATCACGTAACTAAAAATAAAGATATAAATTCATCATTTTCTGGTCACGTGATATCTTTTGAAGCTGAAAATGAGCGTCAAGAGTCACATGAAAACCTACCCTAAAGTGTTTCATTTTGAAGCTTGAATCAGCTGTTCTGCTCCAGCTGTGCACTGTGCTGCGTTTTTGATTGACAGTACATCAAGGAGAGAAAATATAAATAAAAGAAAATATATATATGAATAATTTTTCAATGTTTCTAAAAAATACACTGGGAAAACAAAGTCTAAATTGGAACGTATACACAATCAAGAATTACTTTTGACGTGAATTTCCTATGCAATAATGACAGTGTTTTATGACTAGAGATATAAGATTTCGTTTGCAGAATTAGACATAATTTATAAATAATTTATAAAAAAAATTTATTTAAATTTATAAAATAATTTATAAAAAAAAATGAATCTGACGGCTGTAAGAATTTTTGGAGACTCGAGAGCTGCGAGATACGTGCTTGACAGAAGGCCGCACGTGTTATTGTTCGGTGACGCCAAAAAAATGCAAGCAAGATGTAAAAGTCAAAAGATAATGTCCAAAGCTATTGAGAGAAATAGATATCAAAAATTGGAAGAACCTATTGGAATATATGGCTTTTGCTTGTTGGCAAGTAATACTACAAATATTTATTATATACGTGTTATATAATTTCTTGTAAAATTTAAATTGTTAAATTTAATAATTTCTTGTAATAATTTCTTGTAAAAATTTGTATAAATCATAGCGATATAAAAACAACTCAAGTTGGCGAAACGTAAATAAAAATTTATGTAATGAATAATATACCTTATTAATTAATATACTATAAATCTGTGCATAAAAGAAACATTAAAATTTAGAAAAATTTGATGAATTTATATAATTTTCTATCATAATAATGCTTAATAAATAAATAAATATAAATTATACATCAGATTGTGATATATTAATTTTGTAAATATATCAAAGAAAAATATATAATATAAAAAAAATATAATTTATAATATTTTTTAATGAAGAAATTATATTTGATTTTTATTATTTTATTAATGATTTTTAATTTTCATACTTTTACATGTTGTAATTTTTATATCACAGGGTATACCTATTGCTACTTTTGCACTTGGCACATGGCAAATTAAGAGATGGCTATGGAAGCTGGATTTAATAAAGACTCTGGAACATCGTACTTCTGCGGAGCCAATGGATTTGCCATCTAAGTAATATTTTATGATGCTTTATATATCCTTATTGTACGTACTCTGTTCATTATAGATGTTTCATAGACATATATGTTCTTTCCAGTTTAGAAGAACTGAAGAATAAGGAATATTATTGTGTAAAAGTGAGAGGAAAATTTTTGTATGAAAAAGAATTTTTGATGGGGCCCAGAAGTCTTATTCTAGATGGAGAAGCTGTCAGTGAAAAAGGCGGAGGAGTATTTGCTAGCAAGTCGAGTACAGGATATTATGTGATTACACCTTTTAAACTGGAAGATCGGGAGTAATTGCACTTTGCTTTATTAATTATCGAAAGATCTTTTTTTTTCTTCCATACTATAGATTTAATTAATAATTGTTTCAGTTTGACCATCATGGTAAATCGTGGATGGATCCCTAAAAATGATCGTACATCATATAAAATGGAAGACAAAATTACAGATTCCATGGAAATCGTCGGCATTTGTAGAAAAACTGAAAATCGACCTCCATTTGTGCCTGCCAATGCTCCTGCAAAAGGTGTATGGCATTACAGGTATAAAGATTGCAATATAATATTTATTTAATCGATATGTATAGCAAAATTATATTAAGGACATTTTTAATGATTCTAGGAATTTTTTTTTTCTGGTAAAGCGTTAAACATTCATATTTATTGTAGGGATCTAGATGCAATGGCAAAGGTAGCAGAAGCAGAACCTGTATATATAGAATTATTGCCCGGATATAGCACACCACGAGGACCGATTGGTGGTCAAACAAGAATAACTTTAAGAAACGAACATTTAAGTTATATAATCACCTGGTACGGGTTGTGTGGCGCTACGAGCTATATGTGGTTTCGATATTTTGTGCAGAAATTACCTCTTGCTTAGTTGCATTTTTTTAGAAGCAGAAAAAATTTATCTGAAACATATGTAAAAATGTGTGAGAAGAAGAGAGAGAAAAAATGTATAAAATATACATGTATATTATCGTAATTTAGCTATTTTTTAATTACACTTGTATATCCTATACATACGTTTTCTAATGTAAAATTGTAAATTTTTAATTGTAAAATTTGTTTACGTGTATCTTTATAAAAAAATTTTTATATATTTTCAAATTTTATATTTTTATATTTTATATTTTTATAGAATTTCTCAAAAATGAGAATCTATATATCTTGGTAAATGCACCAAGTAAAATATATGCATATGCCTTGTTCTCGTTTAAAAATTTTCGCGTACAATTAAAGAATTTTTAGGCATTACCATCCGCTGTGGCTCGGAGACGCCCAGTTTTCTTTCTTGTTGTTTATTAATATATACGAGCCTAATTCCTTTCGATTTAATTTAATTCACGCGCTAGCTGAAATGATCGCGTTTCATTTTCCATAGTTATAAACAAATAGACGAGGGTAGTATCGGTGTGGGGCTGAATAGCTCAGTGGTAAGAGCAGTCGCCCGGCAAGCGAAAGACTCGGGTTCGATTCCCGATTCAGCGACTTCGCCCCGATATTTTTTCTCGTCTACGTCTCTTCAGGGGGTAAAGAGGGTTTTAGAATTTCTCAAAAATGAGAATCTATATCTTGGTTAAATGCACCAAGTAAAATATATGCATATGCCGTGTTTTTCGTTTAAAATTTCGCGTACAATTAAAAAGAATTTTTCAGGCATTTACCATCCTCTGTGGCTCGTAGACGCTAGTTTTCTTATCATGTTATTTAATATATNGCCGTGTATAATGAAACGCGTGCAACTTTTCTTCTTTTAATATCTTTGTACGGTTTGTATACGATAAATCATGTTCTCGAGCGACTACCCGATACTTGTTTCGGGATTATCCTCGAAGTACGTAGAACTCTTTCTGTATTCCGTACATTTCTAACGCTGCGATTTCTCCCAGCGTCATGTTTGTTCGGCAGGACACTGCCAGTATCGTATAATCTTTGAGCTGCTCCAGTATGACATGATCCGATGGATGTCTTCGGTTTGGATATAATTCGGCGTATCTTCTTGCAGCAGGATTCTGCTGCCCGTGACACTCGCCAAGTGCCATCAGCATGTCGTAGTATTCTTGATTTGTGTACGCTGCCATATCTTCTTCGCGCTTATTGATATCGCTTATTGAGATCGCTGATAATCGCAAGCTTATTGATTGCATTATCGATCGTGGCGTTTAATTTATACGATCTTCGCTGGGGGTCTGCGTCCCTCTCGCCTCCCGCGACCATCGCTAATAAGCGTGCGCGACATTCGCGATTGGTCGCGGGAGGCGAGGAGGGGCGCAGACCCCCAGCGAAGATCGTATAAATTAAACGCACGATCGATAATGCAATCAATAAGCTTGCGATTATCAGCGATCTCAATAAGCGATATCAATAAGCGCGAAGAAGATATGGCAGCGTACACAAATCAAGAATACTACGACATGCTGATGGCACTTGGCGAGTGTCACGGGCAGCAGAATCCTGCTGCAAGAAGATACGCCGAATTATATCCAAACCGAAGACATCCATCGGGTCATGTCATACTTGGAGCAGCTCAAAGATTATACGATACTGGCAGTGTCCTGCCGAACAAACATGACGCTGGGAGAAATCGCAGCGTTAGAAATGTACGGAATACAGAAAGAGTTCTACGTACTTTCGAGGTAATCCCGAAACAAGTATTCGGGTAGTCGCTCGAGAACATGATTTATGTATACAACCGTACAAAGAATATTAAAAGAAGAAAGTTGCACGCGTTTCATTATACACGCGTGCAGCATTTACGACCAGCAGATTACCCTGCAAGACGAACGTTTTGCGAAAATTTTTTGCGAAACGTCGATCAAGATCCAAGATATTCCTCTCGTGTGATATTCAGCGATGAATCGCTATTCACACAAGAAGGAATTTTTAATGTGCATAATATGCACTTTTGGAGCGAAGAAAATCCGAGAGTCACGCGATTACGAAATTTTCAAACTCGTTGGAAGATTAATGTATGGGCTGGAATAATGGGCACTGAAATTCTTGGTCCGGTTATTCTTCCAGACATTTTAACTGGAGGAACCTACGTCGATTTTTTAACAGAAAATCTACCACATTTCCTGGAAGATGTGCCATTATTTGAAAGAAATAATATTATCTTTCAACAAGACGGTGCTGGGCCACACAACGCCAGAATTGTTACAAATTTTTTGAACCGAGAATTTTCCTGGACGCTGGATGGGTCGATACGGCCCGATACGTTGGCCAGCAAGATCTCCGGATCTCAACCCTCTAGATTTTTTCTTATGGGGATACTGTAAGGAAATCATTTATAAAACGCTTCCCGAAAATATCGAAGATCTAGAGACAAGATTACGATTCGCTATTTGGAATATCGACGAAGAAATAATGGAAAACGTCGAAAGAAATTTATTAAAACGCATGAGAGCTTGCGTTAGGATGGATGGCGGGCATTTTGAGCATCTGCTCTAAAATTTTTTTTTAATCAATCCGCTCTTTCAGAGCGACCAATACATTTTCACGTTGGAACATTTTATTGTGAGCAGAATAAAAATAAATTTTCCCAAATGTAATTTGTTAATTACATTATTCCTGCGATTGACTGAAATCTTCGCATCGTGAATGCAATAGTTTCGAAAATGTAATAACGCATAACACATGCTTTTTAAAATAATAATTATTTATTATGATTAAAATAGTTATTATTTATAATAAATAATTAATTATTTTAAGTACGTTTCATGTTTTATACGTTTCATGTTTTCTACCGCATTCGCAATGAGAAAGTTTTAGCCGATTGTTCGTCTTATCTCGCGTCAATCACGCGTCAGTCGTGCAAGTCGTTTATTGTTAGATGTCGCGTGTCGCGTTTCTGGCAACACATAACCCTCGTGGTCGCGCAGTCTCCGCGGTCCGTCGCTTCGCGTCGAGTCATGTGTTCTCTCGCGTTTCTTTTAAAGTAATTTTTAGTCTCGATAAAACGATGTGAATCGAGTGAGTAATAAACAGAATAATAAACTCGTTATCGCGTAATCTGTGTTAATCGAGTGTAAAAGTGTTTCGAAGTGAGAAAGTTTCGATGTGTCGCGCATCTCTAACATCAGCGGTGCAGCGATCTGATAATCGTGCAGCAGTTACAACAATACGTAGCATAAAGATTCGCTACGCTGCTACAAGGTGAGTGAGCAATCTCTCTCTCTCTCTCTCTCTCTCTCTCTCTCTCTTTTACGCACACACTCCGCCATACACACATCGCGTGTAGCAATCAGCTGATTACAACGTTCGACGGTCGGCGATCCGGAATAACTTTTAATAATTAACATTATTTTAAGGAACACGTATTCCTGATGTAATTCTAAGACATTTTCTTCTTTACCAAAATTTTATTTCAAGCATAATTTTATGTTATAAGATAAAATAGTTAGTGACTCATGCAGTGGTAATCGCCTGTCGGTCAGCTGCGCCCGCGCTCGCGGCGCGTCGGGCCGCCCCTGCCTGCCTCCTGTACCCGACGCATGATTTACTAACTATTTTTGCTTATAATTCAAAAACTACGCTTCAAATCAAATTTTGGTAAAGAAAAAATTGTCTTAGAATAGTATCAGGAATACGTCATTTTTAAAGACGGAAGGTTTTTCGGGATCTCCCTGTATATACAGGGTCTACCAAAAGTGTGGAAACCCCTAAATATCTCGGAAAATATACGTTTTACAGAAAAGTGTTTCCAACAAAAGTTGTAGGGTTTAAGAAGATCTATATACTGATTCTATCAGTTTGACCTTGGATGGCGTCGTCAAGGTCAGGTCAAGGTCACATTGACTTTTTTAAATGACACCCCCTACATTTGATTGCATATTCTTATAGCTTAATTCAAGAGCTTTCCAAAACACTATAATAATGTTCATTTTTATTAAGTACTTTGCGAGTTATGAGGGTTGAAATAATTTCTTAATTTTACATAAACCATAAAATATCTAGTAAACCATTCATTTTTCGATTATCTTACCTTCATACTTTTATGTACAAATTAATGAGAGGAATCAATTGGTGTAAAGAAAACACATAGTTGTTTCTAAGAAAAAATATGTAATTTGCAATTAACAATTCCATATTTTTTCTTAAAAACAACTGTATGTTTTCTTTACACCAATTGATTCCTTTCATTATTTTGTACATAAAAGTATGAAGGTAAGATAATCGAAAAATGAATGGTTTACTAGATATTTTATGGTTTATGTAAAATTAAGAAATTATTTCAACCCTCATAACTCGCAAAGTACTTAATAAAAATGAACATTATTATAGTGTTTTGGAAAGCTCTTGAATTAAGCTATAAGAATATGCAATCAAATGTAGGGGGTGTCATTTAAAAAAGTCAATGTGACCTTGACCTGACCTTGACGACGCCATCCAAGGTCAAACTGATAGAATCAGTATATAGATCTTCTTAAACCCTACAACTTTTGTTGGAAACACTTTTCTGTAAAACGTATATTTTCCGAGATATTTAGGGGTTTCCACACTTTTGGTAGACCCTGTATATATATATACACCGTGGCCCATTTTAATCGACGCACCTGAATATCTCCGTTGGTAAGCCGAATACAAAAAAATTGTTCAGACAAAAGTTGTATGGTTTGAAGGGGGACATAAGATGATATAATTGATTTTATCTTGAAAAGTTGTTTGAAGGTCACATGAAGGCTACCTTCAATTTTTTTAATGGAACCCCCTATTTTTCATTGCATATTCTTGTAGCTTATCTCGAGAGCTTTCCAAAACACTATAATTAAGTACCTTTTTATTAAGTACTTTTTGAGTTATAAGGCTTGAAATACAATAATTTCTTAACTTTACATAAACCATAAAATATCTAGTAAACCATTCATTTTTCGATTATCTTACCTTCATACTTTTATGTACAAAATAATGAGAGGAATCAATTGGTGTAAAAAAAACACATAGTTGT